CTCTTAAGAACAACTCAGCAAGGATGTAGAAAGTTGCAGCTCTAGTGTGAGACACATAAAATTAATTTACCACTTTAATTTGTATTATTTTCCTCTCTCAAGTGACTAGGATGCAAAGTTCAGGTGGCAGTCATCTTCCTAGCGTGTTAAAAACATGTCACTAAGCAAATCAATATATAATTAAAGAAGTGTTAATATGTATCAGCCAGACTACATGCAAGCTGTATGCGATTTTCTGAGAGACATTAAAAATGAAATGCCTTTTAAATACTGGATGGTAGCCATTAGCAATAGGGTGTCCTAGCTACCTTGTGCCGTGGCATATACATGTTGTTGTTATGTGCTGTCAAAGTCATCTTCAACCTATGGCAACCCTATGATTGAAAGCCCTCCAAAATGTTCTGTCCATGACAGCTCCATTCAGCTCTTCCAAGTTCATAATGGAAGCCACAGCCTTGGAGTCAATCCATCTCATATTTGGTCTTCTCTTTTGTTTCTGCCTTCAACTTTCCCAAATATGATTGTCTTCTCCAGGGAGTCAGCTTCTCAGGATGTGTCCAGAGTATGACAACATATACATATAAAGTTGCATTAATATTTTTGAAGCTATTATGATTATTGTATCAGTAGAGAAGCATTTTGGGATCTCTTTCCAAACCAAGCAGGAGACTGTCAAAGATTGCTTCACTGGTGAATTATTTACATCACATGTGAAGAGACAGACATTTCAGAATATTCTGAAAATTGCAGAGATCTGCAAGTGCGCAGATATGGGTGGCTGCAGTTGAAAACACAATCTGTAAAAACACTGAGTAGGCTGGTATAACAGGTACTGCTACCAACTGTCAGGAGCTCTTGACATCTTACAGACACTTATTTGTGCACAATGTCATTGCAGCTTTTCATTCATTGCGAAGGGAACAAAGATAACAATTTATCTTAAACATCTGAAGAGCTGCCAAACTCCTTCCCCACAGGGTATTCGTAGCAAATGAAATCATGGTGATGGAACCGAAAGCAAATCAATTTTTAGAGTTGTACCTCCGATTATTACTTCCTGAAAATGAAGTGAACCGAAGACCTGTGCTATTTCAAGGAAACTGGGGCCACTGAAAATATTAGGAAACTACATTTATTTACAAAAAAAAGATTTCAACGTGAACCATCTTCCCCTCTCTACAAGCCCATACATCAACTTTGCAAACAGCCTTTGCCACTACTATGCTCGCAATAAGCTAGCACAAGCATAACTATAAAACCTACTTCAGAAGTATTTTATTTATTTTGTATGTTGCCCCATAACAAAGTTCTCTTGCTACATTGTCCCATAACAAAGCCTATAGCAAATAACAATTAAGACAGAAAAAACAAAATCATAAAATCCAAAGAGAAATTACAACACTAAAACCCACAACAATTTCAAAGTTAAAACACATTTAAATAAAACATTAAAAATAAAGTCAGAGGTCCAGACTAAATGAGTTATTTAAAAGACCTGGTTGAAAACATCTCTACCTGGAGACAGGTACAGAGTTGGCACCAAGAACCTCTCTTGGTAATTGTGGCCAAGTTATCACCATCCAGCTAAACTCCCCAGTGATGATAAATCTGCCAAAACTGATAAAAGGTGCTTAAAGCAACTGAAGCCATCTGAGTTTCTAATGACGGTAATGCATCAATAATTACCTCTTGACTGTGAACCTTATGCTTTAGAGGAAGTATAATCACACCTAAAACCTTGGTGGATGAACCATCAGCATTTGCCTTATCTAAAATGAATCATTTTGTTTATCCCCATTAGTCCACTACCATCCTCAAGCACTGGCTAAGGACAGTCGCATCTTTACCTGTGTCAGATGAAAATGAGTGTGTCACCCATATAGTGGTTTCTTCCAGCCATTTCATGTAGTTGTTTAACAGAATGGTAAAAACAGTAAGTCCCTGTGGAGCCCCAAAATGGATTATGGAGATTACTTGAGTACTAATCTCCAAACACCACTTTTTAGAAATGGCCATTGAAATGGAAGCAGATCTTCTGCCAAGTGGTGCTTCTACACTCAGCCAAGAGAGCTTATCCAGAATGATATCATCGTTGATGTTATTAAAATCTGCTGAGAGGTGAAGGAGAATCAACAGCTCACACTTGCCTTCCTATCTCTTGATAAAAGGTTGCAGGGCCTTCAAATTGTCAAAGACAATTTGTCCCAAAAATGGGACTTAAAACATAACTGAAAGACATCTGGAAACCAGTAGGTTCATCCAAGAGTGGTAAGAGCTGCCCAGCCACAATTCTCTTGATTACATTGCTGCCACTGCTCTAATAGTCATTAACGCTGTCCAGGTTTTCAGGATTAGTCCAATTACAGACTATATAGACATATAACCGTGCAGGCTCACACAAACATTCCTTCCCTACTAGGTTAAAAAAAAACAATAGAAGGCATATAGATGGGCTAGTCTCAACCAAGCAGCTTAGTCACATCCTTAGACCCCAATAACTAAGTCATCCACCAAACTTGGATAACATAGTGCTCTGGACACTTCCACTAACAATGCTTCATTAATAATGAGATCCAAGTCATGATGGATAGAGGCCACTTTACCCTCAAATCATCTTGCAAATGTGTCACAACATGGTATCAAGTGTTCTACTACAACTCGAGTAGTAGTCTGAGGCCTTATTTCAAAAGGCCCCCATGCTCTCTGGACACATTTCTTCATCTCCATCATTCCACAAAGCATGTCTGATAGTAGGTTCCTCCTCATGTTCAATTAGACTTGACACACTTTCTTTCTAGCTGAGTTTCACTTATCTGTGCACCTCCATCATTATCATTTTTTATTTCCATACTAGCCACTAGCCAAAACTCTAGCTGTGTAAACAATTAAAATACAATAAAATGCAATTTAAACTATAAATAGTAAAACATCAAAAATGTAAAACTGAAGTTAACAGTTAAGACAGGTTCATATAGCTCAGCCTCCCAGAATTCCCCCCACCATCCCAGTGCTATTTCTAACTATTAAGTGCATGGCCATAGATGGCAGTTTTAGCCTGGTGCTAAAAAGACGGTAAAGTTGGCATCAGGCAAACCTCAGTGGGGAGATCATGCCATAATTTGGGGGCTACCATGAAGAAAGTCCTTATTGTTGCCCCACCTGAGCCTCCCTTGGAGGTGGTAGTTGGATAAGGCACTGCATGTTGATCATAGCGTCAGGATAGACTGCAGCTGGGAAAGACATTCCATCAAGTATTGTTGCTCCAAACTGACTGAGTACTGTTTTATAGGCTGAAACCAACACTTTCAAACCAGACTTAGAAGTGTATAGGCAGCCAAAGCAAGGGAGCCAGAATTGGTATTCTATGTATGGACCTACTGATTCCAGTTATTGGTCAGGCACAGACTTAGCACTTTCACAGCCTTACCTGCTGGTGATGAAAAGGAGAAAGAGGGCTGTGTGCCATCAGCCTACTGATGGCAACACATGCCAAAACTCCAAATAACCTCACTCAATGGTTTCATGTAGATGTTAAATAGCATTGGAGGGGTGAAAGACTGACTTTTTAGGAATCCAGTACTAAAGAATTCACTGAGCCAAGCATTATCCTGCAAGCACCACCTTCTGGAGCCTCCCATCTGTAGAAGTGGAACTACAGTAAAGAGGTATCCCCTACTCTCACCTCAAAAGGATACTATGTCTGACGGCAATGAAAGGTGCTGAAAGGTACAGGAGTATCAACAGGGTTACACTCCCCCATCTCTCTCTTGGCATGTGTTATTATACAGGATGACCAAAGCTGCTGAAATGGACTGAAATGGATACAGATGACTGGACTCATCAAAGAGTGCTTGGAGTTGGTTGGCCACCACCTCTTAAGCACCTTGCCCAAGAAGGAAACATTTACCATGAGCCTTAAGTTATTAGGACCTTCTAGGTCCAGAGAGGATTTTCGAGGAGCAGACTCACCACCACCTCATTCAGGTGGCATGGGACCACTCCCCCTCATAAACAGGCCTTGGTCACCTCAGCTGGTTCTTCCCTGCTAGCTTTAAAAGTCAAGAGGGACTAGGATCCAATACAGACATCACTGCACATACCTGTTTGAGCACTTCGTCAAGCTTCTCAAGCTATGCTAACTGAAACTCATCCAATAAAATTGGATACAACTGCTATAAAACTAGAATCTCAATCCTGATGGAAATAAGACATTTTATCCTGGAAGTGCTTAGTTAATCTTTTACAGTGGGCCTCAGGTGGGTCTAAAAGTCCTTGGGACCAATATCTAACAATCCCTGAAAAGCATGGGTATCGAGACATTTGTTTAGCATGGTGCTAGCAAGCCCTCTTCAAACTATTCAATGGCAAGGCAAAACAGTGGTTCTTTGGAGCTTTTCCATGACCTAGTATTCAGACCAACTATTTTGTTCAGTGGACTAATGAACACCTTGTTATTTTGCAGGTTTGGAAGTTAGGCTGTGTACACATATTCTGTATTATATATCCTGTCTTCTCTTGCCCAATTAAAGCCATCCATCACTCTTCATTGGTTGTGGGTGGGCAGAATCAACCTCTTTTACTTCAGTTTTATCACATCCTCATACTCATGCTTTAAAAAATTAAGCTGTTATATGCCAGCCTATATATTTTGCAAAGGTATATTTTGTCAAGGAACAGGTTTACTAAAAGCAGTACTTCAAATGGAATGCAATGATACTGGTCAGTGTAACACTGACCAACCAACCTAAATTGCAGGTTTTGGTTTTTCACTATATCCTAATGCCAGTCTTCTTTTAGGCTGTGCTCCAATGTCCAAAGTGAAGAAAGTATAGCATTAGATGTAAGGTTTAGAAAGAAAATGAAATTGCAAAGAGTTAAAAATCCAAGTGATTCAAATGGTGGGAAAAGAATAGCACTGGCAGAATTTATGCTGAATTCAAGTTGAATTTCAGGTAACAAAAGTTATATACCACTGATTAGGAAGTAAAGCAGCTCCTTACCTTGTTTTCCTCCAAAAACTTCAACTTAACAGATACATCATTGCGCATTTTGTCATATTTTTCTTTGTGTACTTGGAAAAGTTGCTGTGACTGCTCAATCTTTGGCAACGTGTTAGCATCTCGTGGGCCAAGATTCAGTTCTTCTAGATCAGTGCGATAAGCATCATATTCAATCCTGATAAAAAGAAAGAGTCAATATGACCTGCACAAATTTGTGCACAGCAACTACAACCTATAACTTATTCATATGTTTTTGAAACTTTACATATAATCTGTTTAGTATTTGCCCCCCATTGTTACATTTTTAAAATCTTCTCATGACTGCTACAGGGTTCTGTAATTCAACAAACCCACATTCATACTTCTAAACTTCACCGCTTGCTTGCTTGCTTTCAAACATTTATATGCCACCTGATTGTGCCACAGCACCTCTGGGTGGCTCACAACCATAAGATAATGTGTAAGGAATGCTGTATCACTGATATTAAACAATCCCACCTTACTCAAACATTTGATGTTGCTACTGTTGAAAACTGTTCCCATTTCATCTTGTGTTTGCAGAAGTACTAAAACTTGGGTGATCGCCACCTTCTCCCTCATATTTGAATGGCTCTGCTTTCACGCTGACAGCAGCATAGTGAGATGCACAGAATCTCATTATCATCATCATCTAATCCATTGTATGGAACATTGATAATATTGATCTATCAATTGAAATACTAACACAAATCATATGATAAAATATAATTCTAAGTTCACCTTGAAAACATGGAATATTTAGTTCCATCTTCATCAGAATGAAAAAGGCGAATGGCCACAATTGGTGGCAATCTATTTACATCAAAGAAAGGAACTTATAACAGAGCTTGGAACTCTCTTGGATATTTCCCCCATCAACTCCTAACCTCAAAGAGATAAATCAATGATGAGCAAGTACTTGTCCCTTTAACTGTGGGAAAGGACTTGCCACAGGAAAAATATGAAAAAGCTGTGGCTATGTAACATGGTTCCCACTATTCTTATAAACAAGTTATGACTGCAGGATTTATATTTAAGGATTTAAATTTTTCAGATTTAGTAATAATTCAAATAGAAACAATGAAAACAACAGAATTTAGGTTAGTTTTCAGTCTGTTCCAGGTATGACTAATTTGGATGCAACCATGTGCCTTAGAGTGCAATCTAATGGGCATGCCTACTGCCCTCCAAACTCAGAGGATTATGGGTGCCTAACGAAGGACAGGAGTGTGGAGATAAAGGCTGCCTTCAAAATTCTATCATCCTGTCAAAGACTTAGATGGCCATTTTTATCCTGGCAGAGCCTCCCTTCCCTGTCCCCATAATGGAACCCATAATGACCCCCTACCCACTGCTGGATCCAAGATCAGGCTTGTAACTTTGGAGCTGAAACCAGTGCAGAAAGAACATGCTAGCTGCAAGAAAGGGTTAAGGGCACTGTGAACTTGGAATTCCGGCTCTGATCTTGCAAGGGGGACTCAGAATTTTCCTATGGCCAACTAGACCGTATCCACAAGCCACAGGACTCAGCTCTTAGTGTGATCCAGACTTAGCTTCTTACTCAAAGCTGTATACTTATTAAATTCATTAAATAAACTGATAAACCATTACCTAGCATTTTCATATTGCTTCACGGTCAGTAGTGTATCTTCAATGGTTTTATTCACCAAAGTGTTCACACTAGCAATAAAAAAATTAATTGCCCCCAGAAGAGTTTCACCATTTTTAGAAAGAAGTTTCTGAGTATCCGCATTGTATCCAAACTCCTCCTATTAAAAGAATGGAAATACAGTGGTGTTTGTGAAGGTTTAACTCTCTGCTAGCACCAAACTATACTACCACTATAGCAGCAGTCAAGAGATTCCAAAATTCAGCCTTGAACAGCCAGTGCAATGAACTTATCCTTAATTGCTTTTTTGCATTTATAACAACACATACTGCACCACTGTGTGTTACTTCAAATATGACCTAAGTAGTTTATTCTTGGATATAAGAAGTACAGAAGTACATATCAGCATCACAATTTGGAGAAACAAGCCTCTTAAAATGAACATATTCAGCTAGTTTATTTCAAAATTTTAAATTAGCAAAAATTAGCCAGTTAGGGTTTAACATGCAAGTTAACAATTTGTGCTGTTTTATTTCAATTATGCCATCAGTTATTAACCAATTATAAGAAAAGTTGGATGGCTAATTTATGCATTTCCAATGTGGTATGAATATTGCCTACTTTCCTGTAAATTGTCTATTTTACTAATGCAATCAAAATCTTACATGGAGCTCTAATGATTTCAAACTCAAATCTGCAAATGCATCTCCAAGCTGTCTTTGTGTATGCACCATCTGGAAAAGTTGAGTCGACAAGGTTTGTGCCAGTCTCAGGACATTCTCATACTTCTTTTTGTTATCTCTCAGTACTTCTATTTGAGCTTCCAACTCTAGATCTACTGTTCGTGAGCCTCGACCCAGTTTCTCCGAGATTATCTGACGAGTACACTGTAAAGTTTGCAAGACAAAGTTTAAAAATGATTAAGTTTATATTCAAGATAGCATATATCTATTCTTTAAGTTTGCAACACATCAGAATTGTTAACATTTTCTTCTGAATATGTCCACAATTCAGTCACCTGACATCACTATACACCCTTCCAAATAAATTAATCTATTATCTTGAATAGGAGCCATTATGTTCAGAAGTGCAGTTATGTTCAAAATAAAATGAATAGTACACTAACCTCAACTTTACTGTTACATCCTTGAAGAGGTTTAAGACTATCTTTATTGTACAGAAACTCTTAAGAAGAGTTGATAATGAGAAGCAAATTAAGAGGCCAAATCAATCAATCAATCAATGGGTAACTAATGTGTGAGGGGTTGGTTGGGGGAGAAAGCAAGCTCTGAAGAGATCAGAAAGGGGAACCAGGCTCCAGGAATCTATAGACCAGTGATGGTGAACCTATGGCATGAGTGCCACAGTGGGCACACAGAGCCCTCTCTGTCAGCACGCAAGCCACGTTGCCCCAGCATTGCCCCAGCAATCAAGCATTGGATAACAGCGTACATACAGCCCATGCGCATGCTCGGAAAGGAGTAGTGGTGCCAGGCGATGTCACAAGCCGTGACTCATTAGCCATGACTTGTCCGAGCTTTCGCATGGCTGGTCAGTGCACTGCCAAGCGGGGAGAGAGAGAGATTTGCTTGAATATATATATATATATATTTGCTTGAACTTGCTGAGTTGTTTTTTCTAAACTAAAACCTCAGTTTTCAGGTTTTATTGCAGTGTTGGCACTTTGTGATAAGTAGGGTTTTGCGTTGCAGTTTGGGCACTCGGCCTCTAAAAGGTTCACCATCACTAGGTTGGGGTTAGAAAGACGAGGTGTCCTGGCATGATTTTGACAGTTGGAATGTGTTCAGAATGGGCAGAAATGATGAGATGCGCAGAAAAAGCTACTCAAGAAAGGCTTTTTCAAAATTGCCCTCTTTCAATGGAACTTTACCCCTATATTAGGGTTAGGGGTGTGCACCAGGTTAGGGTTAGGAAAATGAGGTGTCCTGGTATGATTTTGATGGCTGGAATGTGTTTAGAATGGGCAGATAGGATGAGCTGTGCAGAAAAAGCTACTCAAGGAAGGCTTTTTCAAAATCGTCCTATTTTCAATGGAACTTTAGTGCTATATTAGGGTTAGGGATAAGGGATGCAGGTGGCGCAGTGGTTTAAACCACTGTGCTGCTGGGCTGGTTGATCGAAAGGTCACCAGTTCAAATCTGCACAACGGGGTGAGTTCCCGTTGCTCTGTCCCAGCCCCCACCAATCTTGTAGTTTGAAAGCATGCAAATGCAAGTAGATAAATAGGCACCATTTCGGTGGGAAGGTAACAGCGTTCCATGCATTTCGGTGTTTAGTCATGCTGGCCACATGACCACAGAGACTATCTGGGGACAAACGCTGGCTCCCTCAACTAGGAAATGGAGATAAGCACCGCTCCCTAGAGACAGACATGACTGGACCTTAATGTCAAGGGGAAACCTTTACCTTTAGGGTTAGGGATGCGCAACAGGCTAGGGTTAGGGTTAATAAAATAAGGAGTTCTGGTATGATTTTGATGGCTGGAATGTGTTTAGAATGGGCAGAAATGATGAGCTGTGCTGAAAAAGTTCCTCAAGGAAGGCTTTTTCAAAATTGCCCTCTTTCAATGGAACTTTACCCCTATATTAGGGTTAGGGGAGTACACCAGGGTAGGGTTAGGCTAGTGGCGGAGAACCTATGGCACATGTGCTAAAGTGGGCACACAGAGCCCTCTCAGTCAGCATGTAAGCCAAGTCACCCCAGCATCGCCCCAGTAGCCGAGCATCGGATAACAGTGCACACAGGGGTCATGCGCATGCTTGAAAAGGAATAGCAGTGCCAGGCAATGAAGTCATGAGCTGCAACTCATTAGCCACCTCTCGTCTAAGCTTTCGCATGGCTGGTCAGTGCTCTGCTCAGAATATATAAATATTTGCTTGGACTGGCTGTGAGGTGTTTTTTCTAAACTAAAACCTCAGTTTTCAGGTTTTATTGTAGTGCTGGCACTTCGCGATAAATAAGTGGGTTTTGGGTTGCAGTTTGGGCACTCGGCCTCTAAAAGGTTCACCATCACTGCTATAGACTATAGAGTGTGTATGCCATCTGAGACAATCCCCCTGGCCCATCTCCTTTTGGTGGTAGGAGCAAAGTGGGAGCCATCTGTATGTTGAAAGGATGCATGGTGGGAAGGAACAGGGCTGGAGGCTGTGAACCAGAAAGTGCATATGCCCAACATTTGTATCTTTCCTTGAAATCTCAGGCTTCTTGCTTTCATTCAGCTCCTCCCAATTCCCACTACAACTGGCAAAGGACTTCTGCTTCCATGGTACTTTCAGCATTTTTAATGTTGGAGATGGTGTGAGGATTGTTCCAATTAATGTATTTTTCTGAAAAGGCAGAAATCTATTACTAGCCTATTACCTTCCTTTCACAGCAGTTCCCTTTAAGGCTCCAAGGATGTCTGTGTGTAGATATCTCTCTCTCTAGAAATAACACTTTTACTAACCTTATTTAACTAGAGAAGCTGTTAAAATGACTTCTGAAAGCGACAAGCATAGAGGCAATAAAAAGCTATTGCCTAGATGCATAGAGGCAATAAAAAATGATGACTGGTTCAAGCAAACATGTACATTTGGTTAGAATAAAAAAGTTCAAGAATACAGAAGAGTAGGGATCCTTTCCTCAGAAGAGCCTGAAAGAACACTTAGCATGAAAAAATTCAAGCAGAGGAACTAACATAAGACTTCAGGAACTATGCAAATAAAGACAAAGGGCCATTCAAATGTAATGTAATTAAGGGAATGGGTTATTATTTCCCAAGATTCCGTGCACATTCCCAAAGTTAGAGATAAGCTTAGAAAGACTATATTAAGGTAAAGTGAAACACGTTCTTGTGATCAGGCGTCTCTATGAAAAGCCTAGCTATGATTGAACCGTAATTAATTTGAGAAAGGTTGCTGTAAATGAGAATGTGTATTATTTCACTTCAGCATTTGGTAAGCATGCGGTAAGCCAGTGCTGCTATACTTGTGGATCAAATGTGCTTGAGGACCCTGAAGCCTTGCCCAGATAGCACTACTGGTTTTGACTGTAAAATTATTAAGTGAACTGTCACCAACAGTTCAAACCAAACAGTTTGGAGGGGGGAAAAGTATCTGTATCAGTCAATCTTATTTATTTATTTGGAGTTTTGTATGCCGTCCCATTCGCATTAGCCTCGGGACGGCTTCCAACATTCTTGTCCTAGGGAGTTATAGCAGCTGGGGGAGACTAATGTAAGTAGCTCTGAGTTCCTTAGAAGACAAAAGGCAGGATATAAATCTAATAAATAAATACTATCTTCTCATATTGGGCCAGAGAGGAGGACCTCAATGACTAAATATAAGGGTCCAGGAGCTGCACAGCTGGGACTCAAATGCTAATTTAGAAATATAAACACTAGATCATAGACAGGTTTCAGTTCTTGTCTCTATGAACAAAGTAAATCAGTAGGATAACATTTATGACAGTAGCTATTAAATCAGGAAATAGCATGCAATTAAAGATCTAGAATGTGAAAGGTATGTTCCACTTGAACCAATTTGTACAAATGATCCTCTGAACAAGCTGGTACAATTTAAACTGTTTCAGTCTGCAGAGAGGAAAATGTGTATTTTTCTGGCTAAAGGGTAAAGATGTCACTATGGGTTATTGCTGCTATGTAGACATTTGAGACAAAAAAGCTCATTAAAAAGATTAACTCATCCTGAAAAATGGAGACCAGATGACTTCAGTGCAAGTCCCTCTTCTGAGCAGACTTAAGTCAGAATGCGCCAACACACAAAGTGAACCAGTATTCAAATGTTAAAGCAAGCAGTCCAGAATGCATGTAAAAGGAATTATTCATTTTTTAAAATTAGAAACTTAATTTGATTCATTTATTATAAAGCAAGTCTTCCTCTGGACAAAAGGGATACAAGCAAACCTACTAGTCTTTATATAACTGAGTAATTATAGCTTTCCCCAATTCCATCAGTCTTTAATAACATAGTATTTGCATTCACAAATTAGGACAAGGCACCCTAAGAATAAGCTATGCAGTGTGTTTGTCACAGATCAATGCATGGTGTACCTAAGACATGACAGTACTCACTGTGGGCTGTCCCCCACAGCCTTTCCCCTTGGCCTTCCTACAGGTATGACAGGGACTCCACAGGAAGACCCATCTTGTCTCTTCTGTCCAATGTGAGTATGACTGCTTTTGTGGTCACCAGATCATTCCTCAGCTTTTTCTTAGAAGATTGCTTTTCCAATCTCTGCAGTGACAGCCAGTGACAAATGGCACACTGGAGTGACTGTCACTGATTTTCCACCAATTTTTTGTGACCACGATTTATGGAAAAAAAGTTGATCTGATTTTTTCAGGTGTACATGTACAGAACTCCAACTATCCCAAATACACAGCCAGGACTCATTGATGTCCTAGACAGTTTCCCCTGTCCAGTCCCTGGATGGGAATCATCTAGTTACTGCCTACTAATTTAGTATATGCTTGCTTGCTTGCTTGCTTGCTTGCTTGCTTGCTTTATTTATTTATTTAAACATTTTTATGCCGCCCCATTTGCCGAAGCCTCGGGGCGGCTCACATCATCAAGTTAAAATAGTTATAATATAAATTAAAAATATAAATATTAAATTAAAATACAATTATTACTATTATTATTATTATTTCCTGCCTTTTGTCCACTTGTGATGAACTCAAGGTGGCATACATTACTCATCCTTACAACAAATGTGTGAGAAAGGTTGGACTCAAGAGATTGTGAGTGGCCCAAAGTCACCCAGTGTGCTTCATGGCTGAGTGAGGACTAGAATCTGGATCTCCTGGATCCCCAGTCTAGCACTCTATCTACCACACCTGCTCTCAAGCTGGAAAGGAACTGTGTGGGGAATGTGCTAATAGAAGCTGCTGCCAAGTCAATCGCAGTAACCACTGACAGTAATCACAACTGGAACCTGCCTGAGTTCCTAAATGACAATTTAACTGCCAAGGTCCTTGCATTTTTTTAACATGTACAAAAGCGCACATGTCATGGAATGTCTCCTACAAGGGGCCTGACTCTGCTAGGAGAAGAGAAGCAGCTGCAGAGGCAATGCTTGCTTTTAAGAGTGCCTTGGCAGGTTCCTTCACAGAAGTGAAAAATGAGACTGCTTTACTGAGTAACATAAGAAAGCCCATGGACATTATGTTATCTTGCTTAGGCCCTCCCCTCCCACAACTTAGTAAATAAAACATTGCTCTGAAACCACATATTCCATGAACCTTGACTTGGCAAACATGTCCATTTTTCACATTGCTTGCATCTTTTCATCACCAGCCTGACTCAGCAGCTCTAGCTGTTCTAAAATCACATCTAATATCACCTTGCAACTCCTTACAGAAAGTCTCTTTCATTGCCAGTTATTGGGCAGCACATTCAAGATGCTTCCTGTCAATGCAATAGATTGTAAAACTGTAGTACTGCATAATACCAAGCTATAATTGCACCAAGGATAATACCCCAATTTCTCTGGTATCTAGAAAAGTTAATAGTTTTCAGTAAATAAATTGCACTAACTTTAATCAGAAATACCGCCCTCAGCAAGTGATGAGGTAGCCAAAGTGACTGGTTGTTTATGGACTAGGTTAATGGAAGACATGACAAGAATGGGAATAAAAACAAGTTCTGACAGTAGAATTCTAAGTTTCCCCATCAACAGCAATGACCAAGACTGACCTTCAAGATCACACCCTCTCTTCTCCTTGTACATGCTCAGACTCTCTCCTTATTCTTGATTTGTAATTAGCTGTAGCTCAGCCATGTCATCCAAATAAGGCAAAATGTGGTTGCTTGCTGATTTGGGAGGTCCAGCAAAGCTATAACTGTTGTCAACTACAAAGTGTAAGACAGAATATGTGCATGTGAGCCTGAAAGTCAGGCAAACATGTGAGCTTGGAAACCATGATTTGGCCAAGATTTTAAAATTGGACCAATTCCAGTGATCTACTTATTCCCACTTTCCTGTGTACCTATAGAAATGCAGCTAGACAGCAAGTTTGTTCCTTGTACACTGCTTTATTATTTGTAATATACATGCACATTCCACACAATCTTTATACCTTGTTTCTTTTTGAGAATGGGCAACAAGATGCACCTATTCAGCATGGACCTATTGGAATGAAGTACGCAGGCTACTTTCACATAAGGTTAAATCCAATGTTAGTCCTATTTGAAGGTCTTAATGAAATGAATGGACCCAATGTTAGTGTCAGGCATTTCAATAGTTTTACCTAAGACTAATGTTCAAAGTGTACAGGGCCAAGGAGGAAAAACAAAACATGTTCCATAACATTTTAAATGCTTGCATTTGAGAATGATATACACAAGCCCACTAAGTTTTTCCATGTGAAAGCATACACATGGGATGCAATTCCTTGCCAAGAAAAATACACATTGTGTGAACTAGCTTTCTAGAAAAATATGTTAATGGTTGGTTATACTGCATTTTCCTAAGCTGAAAAACTTTGGCATTCTAAAATTTTCTCCCCAGGGTGGGAAGACAGGAAAAACATAATTCAGAAGAAAAATATAGTTGTTCCTCTTTGACTGTAGACATACATGTAAGTTAGATAGGATGACCAGTTTTGATGGATGGGAAACCTTTGCAAATTTAAGGAATTCCTTCTTCTGGTTTATAAGAGTCACAGTTAATCACATTAAAAACCCTGCTGCAAGGTGACATAGAACATTTTCTACTCTGATCACAAAGCAAACACATTTTACCTCTTGCTTTGCACCTGAAATCTATAGGCTACAAAATCATGAGTAGGCATAACAATAAAACTCAATCCTAAAAATGCTATTAGGTATTCTAATCTAGACAAATTCTTTTAGGAGATGACCATTTTCAATGGCTAAATGGCTATTGTTTATTTTGCTATATTTATACGGTTGCTGAAAAGCATATGTTCCTTGGGCAAATCATAGAAAATTAATGCACTGCCAAATACACTGCATTTTAATTCAAGCAAGTTCAAACAGCACTTGGGAATCTTAGAGGGGAAAAAACTTTGGAAAACAAATTATGTTCCTTATTAAATGTCATTGTTCTAAAAGTCTCTTTTCATCCAAAGAAGTTACTGTAGCAGAAGGAGATTAAATTTTTAAAAAGCACGCCAGACTCTTACCCTTCAAGTTCTGGTAAAATGCCAACTCCTTTTGTATGTGAAGTACCAGAAGTACTCAACTGCAACAGTGAAACCAATACAAACCTTGTAAGTGTTTAGGCTCCATCTTCTTACAAGCTCCAATTTTTCCAATGCTGGATTCTTCGCCTCCTCTGCAAGAACAACTGGTCCACTTTTCTGCTGCATTTTTATATTGCCTGTTTAGAAGTCACATGTAAGGGGTCAGTACTTTGAGCCAGTACTGATTCTCAGCCTAGACTACCTTGCAGGGTTGTAGGGAAGATAAAATGGAGATGAGAGGGAAAATGATGTAAACCATCTTGACTTCCTCCAGGAGGGGAAAATGCAGGATATAAATGTAAAAATGTAAAAAAATCATTACTACACTTGCCAAATACTATGTTGTTCATTATATGAAATTATGATGTTTGTCCAAGCACAATTCTCCTAGGAATATGGGAAGTTTGTAGAAACTTATATTCACTAAACTTATAATTTCACTAAAACTCATGAAGGCAAGTTCCTTCATTACTTTGCACTGTAACCATGAATATAAACCTATGCACATTTAATTGGGATATACTGATCTTGTTTCATAATCAAGAGGTACAGGACCAGTTTGTAGGAGCATTTCTGCCTAGCATAATATCTAACAGGATTTTCTCATTATTTAAAAGTTGTATCAGAATGGAAAATAACTTTCTCTGTAACTAACATATATATAGTAAAGGGAAATAACAGTTCCATCTGACAGTTCAACATCTGAATATCACACTAGGTTACTACTCTATGCTCTGTTCCATTGACGAGTTTCTCTCTTTCCCAGGTCCCATCCTATTTCTAAACCACCCCATTCACAGCTTCAAGAGGATGCTCAGGAAAAGTTCAAACTTTTTAAAGCAGATGTGTTTCTAATGTGTCTGCCATGTGCATTATGATAAGCACTTAGTGTATGAAGTAAGTACTTATAAAAACATACAGGAAGACCTGCAGTTGACTACAGATTCCCAAGCATCACCCTTGAGTTTTGATATTCAGTAAGATATATGTGAAACTGTCCTAAATAAGCAGACAGTACTCCAAAGCTACAGTTTTTTGGCCTGAAGTAACCTTCAAGGAACTGAGAGACAAAGGTGGGCAGACCCTGCAAAGGCAGGCAAGTTCAAAGCTACAGTTGGTTAATTTTTTCTTTCTCAGCTGTGACCACACCAAAGCATTACCCAGCACAGCAATTTACTTTTGAAAAAAGGCTATTGGAGCTGATGGAAGGCTTTGTTAAGCTTAGTTGCCGTGGGGGTGAAGGGAGAAGCAAAGGAGGCTATGTGAGCCAGAAATTCTCCACACTGAATCTAAAGTGACTTTAGTGACTGCTCCAAACATACTGCATTGCAAAGGAGAAAGAAAAGCCAGTTTGTTCTTCAACTACAAAGCTTTAAAGTTCACCATAATAAGTCAAAATATTTTTTTTCTAATGTCCCGTTATCCCCATTCATACAATTTATCAGCTTGGCACCCCAGAAGTGCAAAGCAATTTCTTCCATGATCTCCAAAGAGAGATAGCAGTGAAATCCAGAAATGTACAGAAGTTAATAGAAGAATCTTAAGCAAGACAGTGAATTTTTTAAAGCATGCTATCTTTAGTTCTTATGGTATCAAACTACAAATGTGGAGGGTTTTTTAAAGTTTACTTTTATTACAGACATTCAGAAACACACACACACACATGCATATCTAAGTTGGGTGTTGGACAAACTGTTAAGGTGCTTCCACTTCTACATGGATGGCTGATTCCAGATGGCAGTGCTGCAGTTTTATTGCTGTACTATGGAATTTCACACAGAATTATTTGATCCTCTATGCTATTTAATTCCTGCATGAAACTACTGAGAGAGAGGTTATCCCAAGAAATAGAGGGAGATGTCACCAATATTTATGCAACACTCCATCTTACTTTTTCATCATAACCAGGTAAAGCAGTGGGTGTTCTAAATCAGTGCCTTACTGTGGAGGAACTATAGTTGATATAGTAGGAAAAACAATGGAAAGGCTTATAATGGAGAGCGATCTAGTGATGCTAGATAGGGAAGGGAGGCTGACAGCCACAAAACACGGCTTCCGCAAAAACAGGTCCTGCCAGACAAACCTTGTGGAATTCTACAACAAGGTTTCAAGGTGGCTAGATGGAGGGGGTGCAGTGGATGTGGTATACCTGGATTTCAGCAAGGCCTTTGACAAAGTGCCCCATGATATCCTGGTGAAGAAACTGAGGAGTTTTGGGATACACCAAAGCACTGTCCGGTGCATTAGGGCATGGTTGACTGACCGAAAGCAGAAGGTAACCATTAATGGGGAATCATCGGGATGGCGACCAGTGACAAGTGGGGTCCCCCAGGGCTCTGTCCTGGGGCCGATCCTGTTTAATCTTTTCATTAATGACATGGAAGAAGGGGTGAACAGTCTGCTGATCAAATTCGCAGATGACACTAAAACTGGAGCAGTGGCCACAACTGAGGAGCAGGTACTCCAGATCCAAAAGGATCTGGACAGACTATGGAAGTGGGCAGGAGACAACAGGATGGCGTTCCATGTGGGTAAGTGCAAGGTCTTGCAGTTGGGGCATAGGAATAGCTGTCATAAGTACAGGTTAGGTGACAAGTGGCTGGAGAGCAGCACTTGTGAAAGGGACCTCGGGGTACTGGTTGACTGCAGGCTAAACATGAGTCAGCAGTGTGATGCGGTGGTCAAGAGGGCCAACGCCACCCTTGGTTGCATAGTCAGAAGTGTGGCTTCTAGATCAAGAGAGGTATTACTACCACTCTATACGACTCTGGTGCACCTGCAACTGGAGTACTGTGCTCAGTTTTGGGCCCCTCATTACAGAAAGGTTAGCCAGGTTAGAGTCAGTGCAGCGTAGGGCCACAAGGTTGGTGGCCGGTTTGCAGGGGATGGGGTATGAGGCGAGACTAAGGGAACTGGGTCTCTTCAGCCTGGAGAAGAGGAGACTCAGAGGGGATATGTTGGCGACATACAGGTATGTGAGGGGATGTCACATGGAGATGGGTAGAGACCTGTTCTCCCCTGCAGAGGAAGGCAGGACGCGCTCCAACGGAGCAAAGCTCAGGGAACCAAGGTTCCATTTGGATGCCAGGAAGCATTTCCTGACAGTTAGGACTCCGTGGGTGTGGAATGGGCTTCCACGAGAGGTCGTTGAGGCCCCATCAGTGCGGGTGTTCAAGGATAGGCTGGACGTGCACATGGTGGGCATGTCATGAGCGGAGCCGGCTGGTGCCGGAGGTCAGACTAGATGGCCCGGGAGACCCCTTCTGACTTACTCTGTTTCTATGTTTCTGTATGCTCTACCGAGCTGACTGGGGTTCAACCGTCCTTGGTGCTGAACCCACACACACTAAAGCAGTCTTCCCTAACCTGGGGCCTTTCAAATCATAGTTGGCTATGCTGACTGGGGTTGATATGCATTGTAATCCAAAATATTTGCAGGGCTCTCCTAAAGGCAAGTGTCCTTGAATGCACCACTATTACTGGAGGCACTGGAAGCTTTTGTGTGTCTAGGCTAACATACTTAAGCTAGGTTATCTATGTCCCCATAGGGTTAGAGTACATACATGCCCTGGTTATCTCTAATTTGGACTGACATAATGAGTTATAAAGCAGGGTTGCCCTTCCAAACCATCTGGAAACTTCAGCTAATCCAAAATAGGGCTACAAGATTGTTAACAGGGCTGGGTGATATGATGATACACCACTGCTTTGCCTTGGGTGCTGGCTTTTACTTTGTTCCCTGGCCTAATTCAAAGTGCTGGCATTGACCTTTGTGGCTTTAAATTGTTTGGGGACAGGTTACATGACTGGTTCCTCCCTCTGATAACTACCTGGACTTTAAGACTATCTTCAGTGGTCCTTCTCCAAGTATCCCCACCAAAGGACTGCTAGAGAGGAGAGCTTTTCAATGTTGGCACCAGTTAAAGAATGCCTTTCCCAGAGCCGGGTGAAACTCGTTACTTTCCCATGCCTTTGGAAATTGAACATTGTTAGTACTTTTAAACCTTAGTCCATCTGATCAATTCTGTTTTTGATTTTATTTTTATGTTGCATTTCTGAATGTTAAGTTGGGTGGGGAGGAAGTAAGGATAGTGGCTTACTAACACAAAGATGAACTGTATTAATTTCAACTGAGAGAATGAAATATGCTGTCTTCAAGAACTATAACTTGAAATGTTTGCTAAGTGCAATGCAAAAAATACAGTGGGCCATGTTTGGACTATAATATAACCATGAACTGACAGCACCCTTTAAAAAAAGAGAGAAAAGAAAAAACACTGCTCAGCTTATTTGCTTTGTAAATATGATCCAGCATATCCACAAGCAAGTGGATGACAAATTGTGGTAAAAGTGAGATCTATTTAGATGAAATAATTAATACAATACTTGATCAGTGTTTTATATGTTCACCACTTCAGTAATGTAAGAGTAAAGTTTTTTAAAGGGGTTGTATATCTTCAAAAATTTATTTCAATGTTGGGCACTGGCACATACTGGGAAGTTCATCATATTTTAAATAATGTTGACATCATACATATGTGTGTAGTCAATGTAATATTCTAGCTTGTCAGAGTTCGAGAGTAAACTCACTCCTAAAATCCAAGTAACATTGCTACTGATAAAGCAGTAAAGTTCAATGCCATAAATTTCAAAGCTCTAATTTGTTATTCCGCACAGTTCGTTTTTCAGCAGAAAATATTGGTTTGATCATGCTTAATTTTGAAGGAGGATAGTATGCAGAAAGAAATATGCATCAGTAACTTTGCCAAGTGACAGAACAATTAAAAGCAAGTATATTTATACAGCAAGTGAAGTAATCACAAGTCCAGTAATTGTCTGCAAACTTGAGGGTTAGTATTACATAAGCAAGGGTGTTATCTGCTTAGGCCACTTTGGGAATACCTTTGGGAATAATTAAATCACTCCCTCGTCCAGCCAGTCTGCTAGCTGCTGCACTGCTAGGTGATATAATGGGTGACATGTGTAGTGACGAGGGACCTGGAAATGCGACATACAACATGAATATCCCTCAATATCTACTGGACCAACACATCTGCTATGCACAAAATATTGGAGAAACAAGAATTAATTTACAGTGTCAGAATTACATTTCAGCATTACTTCAAATGGAGACTCATTATTACTGCCTCCATATGGTGGCTCTTCCATGTAGCAGGCCATTTTGCATATAATAAACAGATGGACCAATCATTATTTCCGACAGTACCATGAAGTTGTCCTTTAAACTGTTTTCATTAACAAATTCAATGAAAGATTTGCAATGCATTTATTATTCGAATAAACTGTTATCTTACAGAAGCCTGAGCCAAAATGAATGCTTTCTGATATTGACATACTTGCTATTACACTACAAGTTCATATTTAATTACTGTTACCTTGAAAAGGTCCAGCTTCAATGATTCCCTCTTTGGTACTGTCAAAGCCATGCGATGTAATCTGGGTTTCAGATAGTCCAAGTCCAGCTGGTAAAGAACGCTTCAAATCCTTAGAAATATTTGAATAAAAGGGAATATCCATGTAAAGATCCCAGATGAGGGAACATTTAGGCATAACAAACTCAACTGCTTTTCAAACTCATCTTGAGCAGCGTATTCTGTATCTGGAATCTAGTTTATGGTGTCATTACATTCTATTTTGATGACTTAACACAATACATTTTTGTAACATACATCACAGATTTCATCACACTCCCTCCCCCCATATGCATCTGTGCAACCTGTACATGTGTTTTAATGAAGGCTGACTTATGAAGCCTACAACTCTTGTAAAACCACATAGGCCTTCTCACTAAGATTTGATAAGATGCAGCCCAGATTTGGTTCATGGTGACCTCTGCACTTCTCAGCTTTAGTCTAGCCTTCACTTTCCCAACACTTTATTACTTGCCCCTTCTGCTAGTGATCGGTAGATCTCTGCTCCTGAGGAACCTCTGTGTGCATGCATACATGCATTTACATAATTCATCTTCATTTATTTTATTTTCCGATTTATATCCTGCCTTTTTCCTACAAAGGGCTCAAGGCAGCTTACATCATTCTCCTCCTCCATCTTATCCCCACAACAACAACCCTGTGAGGTAGGTTGGGCTGAGAGTCTGTGACTGGCCCAAAGTCACCCAGTTGGCTCCATGGCTGAGAGGGAACTAGAACCCAGATCGTCTGAGTCCCAGTCCCATGCTCTTAACCACTACACCACACTGGCTCATTCCTTTTCCACACCCAAGTTCCGGCAGTTTGGGAACATTTTCTCACTTTGCACTAAGTGCCAAACTTTTGTGGCAATGAACAATCAACAGGGATTATGGCTTTAATCTCTAATCAAGAGATCCAGTCTTCTATTGAGAAAGGCTGTCAGCTGCAGTTTGAAACCTACAATGTTAATGACCATAATAGGCACAAAAGCATGACCAAAAGTCGACCTATAACTTAATTTTGCACTAGAGTGATTCAAAGGTTTAGAAAACATGTACTATTTTCCTAAGTTTTACATAAGGCCTTGCTATGTAGAGAAAAATTGTCTTACACTTACCCCTTATCATTTAAAAAAATGGCAGAGTAGACAATTGCCAAAATCCACAAGGAAAGATGAATACTGAATGATGATCCCCATCCTCAGCTGCTAGCAACTTTACCTAAAGGTGTAACCAGTACCATGTTCTATTGCTAATTTGCTAGGCAAACGACATGGGTACAGAATACCACTAAAATGGCACCCATTGTTAAGAGCCAGCCACTCTTCCTGGAATGCATTATATGCTCAACATTGTTGCCATTACATAATGTTATGTTTTCTCTTCCTTACCAGCCAGGAGTATAAAGTGGAGTAAGGAAAAACAACAGAGGGTTAAATAGTATTACAGGACAAAGTGGAAGAATTCAGACACCTTTCTGCTTTAACCCTGTTTTTCCATGGTGTATTCTAACATTACATATGAAGACAAATGAAGTTATTTCAAGATAAATAGTTTCAGGCTTACTGCCATTTAAAGAAGCCTCCCCTTTTTTGATAGAGAACTTGATTTCCTTCCTGAAAACTTCAAGGGGCCTATCCCACAATATTATATGCTACAGCAGAACCAATGATCTGGGATTTGAACATAAGCTACAAAACACCAGAACTTTGGTTCATTAACAGGCAACCAGATGTCATGTTAAACACTTAAAACAAATAGTAGTCACTGGGGCAACAGCTAATCATTTTCCCCCTTCGGTGCCAGTAGGAGCTTCCTCCTGATACAAATACTAGCTTTGAAAAGACCACAGCAGTGAAGAGCTAAAATCCTCCTCCCTGTCTGCTACAGTCCCAATTATCAGTCCCAACAGTAGCTGCTAATTGCATTTTAAAAACATACATGTTAAAATACAAAAAAGCAGTCACACCTAATTTGCCCCCTGGTCTAGGAGCATGTACTCTAACTTGTAGTAACATTCCAAATGTCTCAGGCAGTGATTTTTCTTCAGTCTTGTTACCCTTAAATGGAGATGGGGAAGCCCAAACCTTGATACGAGTACTTCTATATGCAAACCATGTGCTCTACCACTGACCATCCCCATTTGTGATATGAACAGCTAGAAAGTAAAATGCTACTGGAAGTCGCCTTTACAAGATCAAACACATGTACAAACTAGAGTGGTGTCAAAATATTCAGTGGACACCCTACTGAAGACATGGGGTGAGGAGGGAAAAACAGACGTAAACGAAACTATAGAAAAATTAGTTTTGCAAGATGAGTGCAAAAGTTATTAATTTTCAGGTTGTGAGGGGCTGATGTGAGGAACTTGTTGAAATACCCTTTCACTTTTTGTAGAAGGGCAATAATCTTCCATATATTAGGGGGAATTCAGCCCAATGCTAGGATGAACTAGAAGTTTCATTCTTGTAATTTGGAAAACAAAAACAGCACAGTTTGTGCCAGAGCAGCCTCTAGTGGACATAGAAATGTTTTACCATTTCATTTAATTAGGCAGTTTCATTTTACAATAGTAAAATAAATCTATCTAAAATACAAAATAGAGACACTCAGGCTCAACTAGAAATGGAGGAACATAAACTATGTAGTAGTCTAACAGAAGTCATTTCAGATTCTTGATAGTTCTAGTTACTCTATATTTGTCTGTGCATTTTACTCATCATTTTATTTAGCTTGCCTTCTCAATGATCAACACAAATCACAGTTTAATAAAATGATAAGAGAAAGAATAAGAAGCTGAGTGGTGAATGCTATAGCCTTTCACCCAGATCCCCAATTTTACTAATAGGCTTTGATACTTGGATGAAGCTATTTGTGTCTTACCTTTAATTGAAAAGACAAAATCCATTAACAGGCAACCAAGCTTTCTCTAAAGTGGCAGAAAGTTAGGTTAAAATAGGCAATACATTTTCCATAAAATTGCTTGTTTCAGCAATAGTCTAACTGGATGACTGGCAAGCAATTTAGGTGATTTATTTAAGTCTATACATCATACCGTGTTAAAGTTGTGCTCATGTGTGTCTTCAAGTTGCCCATTGCTTGTTACAGAAATCTCTGCTGCTGAATTTTTTGGAGATTCCTGAGCCATTGAACACTCCTATAATATGAAAAGAGATGTGTTAGTGTTTTAAAAACAGTATTCTTCAGCTTTAAGAAATGACAGTTTTGGAGAAAGATTTCAACACTGAAAAGAGTATGTTCAGATACTAACACAATGATTTTATGAAACCAAGTTTGTTCAATTACTGTTTTCTAGAAACCAAGTAATATATTATATATACTTTGTCCAGAAAGTCACACTATCCCATCCTAGCAGCTAACATACACAGTCACTTCTGTTGCATAGCTATTCTACACAAAACTTTCCCAACACTTAGCATTATCAAGCAGCACAGAAGTTATATTTACTTAGGATTGGCAGGCAATTTCTTTGACCAAATGATGTTCACTGAAGGTTGAAGAGAATTGTACTATGTACAAGCCATCTGTTAACTGTCCTGCAGCTTTGTCTATTAATGCCTGTAAGCAGATATGTTCATCTGATAATGAACAAATTGTCATAGTGCCAGGCAGAAATAGTTCCCGTTTCCCCCTAGAAGTATATCTAAGACCAGCAATCCATTGCTGTTCTCTTACCTATGGTTTTTATTCATTTTGTAATAAGTAAGATGCTGCTTAATGTAAACAGATGTGCAATTCTGATGTTAATCTAACAGCTTCATTAATAGTTTATTGGCCAATCATTTTTCTTTCACTTAACACCTGCTCAGCTTTCATACTTATCTGTGACATCTGTTTTTGTAGCAAAGGATCAAAAGCCTAAACCTAACAGTTTTAAGCCAATGTAAAGCCATCACATATTTACTATCTGTACTATCTTTTGTCTTCTCTTCACAAAATATGAATATACACAATGTGGCCACTACACATCTCTCTGCCTTCCTGGTTTTAGTAGCTTAAAAGTGAACATAAATGGTTCTTCATTAATGAGGTGAGACATGCAACCGTGTAGACAGAGGTCATCCCTCTGCAGACTACAGTGTCTCATTGGGCCTACAGGTGCTAATAGGAAGAATGTAAGAATGTAATGAATATTTCACATGGACATCTGATATGAACCTTAGCCATTCTACTCAACACAATCTATTCTGTGTAGCAACCTGTCTTGCCAATGTTAGAACAGTTTTCAAATTGTCTGAGTATGGATGTGCTAAATTACAACTTATAGTTAAGGAAATATTTTAATCTTTGCTAGTTTGGCCTTGCCCCCAGTCAGGTTGCTATAAAGGAGTGCTTATAGCCTACTTTCTCTCAAAGTGCTGCATACCTTCCATGCCTCAACTGTAACTCCCCTCTCCATACCAACAAGGTCAAATGTATTTATTTTTCCTCCTAAATGCAAATTAAGATAACAATTGCAGCAGCAAGAGATCTGGAAAAACAAACAAACCAACCTACGCTGGAAGTGATGAGACTGAATGTGCTGAGGTACAAAAAGCTGAAGACAGGGATGCCCTCCTGTCCCTGTTGCATCTTCTGTGGTGTGCCTCCAAGTGCCTTTGTCTAATTTTGGGTGACTTTTTTGCCTTCCTTAACCCCTTTTGCACAGTCCATCCCATTTAGCAGGATCCCCTCCCATCCTCCATAAGGGGGACTGCAATGGATCAGAAGGCCTGACAAAGTCCACTTCAGTAAGTTACATCAGACATAGCAAAACTCTGCCACTGATATGCCACCAACTCTGTAAAACACACTTAACTCTGGATCAAACCCATTGGATTTAATAAAAGGATTCTCCTTCCCGTATATGTTCCACTTAGATGTACAGAAAGGACAAAATATTTTGAACCAGATCTAACTGAATATGCTACATAAAGAAATACAAACGTGTCCCGTCTTGTTGGCATTAACCACAAATATGTTCTGAATTAGTTCTATGCCCAGAAGGGGATTAAACCTACAGGTAAAATGCAAACTTACTCACAATTTTATTTTTAAAAGTCTAGACCACTTTTCATCTACAAAAGTGGCTTCCAGGATGTTGTATAAAAATAAAATATTTAACAATAAATAAAAACACAAATATCAAGCTGCAAAACTGAGAAGTATAAAGCTCAATTAGCTAATATCCATACAAACATTAAGGCTTAAAAAATCTACTGTACTGGTGACAGTGTGCCCTCATGTGGCAGTCCATATTTAGCAGGAAATTTTTGGCCAAAACATAGTTGCACCTGTTTGAATGCAGACAATATTTCTGTCTTTATCAGTGCCTTACTTATTCCATAATCATTGCAAAACTATTTTTAATGAACCTTAACACCACCTTTGACAAAGTATAGTATAGCTATGAAAAATCCTTACTAACAGGACTTTTGTATTACATATTGGATACTTTTATCTAAGGATTCATAAAATATTAAGAAGCTTTAGAACTGAAATACAGTTTAATATGCAAGACTCTATTTTTTAAAAATCAATAGCAAACTTTGGTGAATTACTAACTCACCTATCATAAATTAGTTCAAGGATAAGATATTCTAACATTGTATCCAGGTTGAATTTTTTTATTCCAAGATACAGCTACTAGGCAAATGAATTAGCTTAGCTATTAACATTATGCTAGCAGGACAACTGATAGAATCACAGACTTCTTGAACAATGTCTAATTTCATATTCTGTGGATATGTGTTGGTACTCTATGGGGATAAAATTTTACAAATAAAATTGTAATAAAATTTCCTGAACTCACTTGCAACTCACCCTTGCCCAGGGGAAGCTCCAAAGCCCACAGAGCTGTTTGGCAAGAACAGCAGGAAATTGTGTTGCTCCAGCCAAGGGGCTCCAGTGACAGTCACACAAACAGCACTGTAGGCAGTTACCATCACCTTTCCTTTGTCATATGTTGCCATCCCCGTCAGGTCTCTCCTTCTCATCCCTCTACATTGTCCAGAGACCTAATCATTCAGTCATCAAGCAGCCAAATTTGGACAGACTTTTCCCTCGTCTGTGGATTGGGGTGAATTTTATTTTCATCATGCAGAGTGAACAGCAGATTCAGTGCTACAAAATATCCTAGTGCAGGTCCACATGGCTCTGTCACCTGTACAATCAAGTTCCACTCCATCTCCAACGCCTGCACAGTGCACCACTGCACACAGCCTGTCATGTGGCTCTTTGCCTCTTCGCCTCTTCTATTCCTTCCCACCAATGAGTACTTCTGAGTTTTCCTCTCCTTGGCGCCTTACAGCTGAGGAGCAGGTCTCCCGTATCCAGAAACCTCTCCACAACCTTAGACAGCCCACTGCTAAAGCAAGCAATAAAGCAAGGCTAAAGAACTCCTGCTGAGGGCAAAGAGCTACTGCAAAGAGAGTGCATGAGTGAATGACACTGGGGACAAAGACTTGATTCACATGACATGCTAAGCCACAGTAGTTCAGTGTGTTGCCTGAACCTGGCAGAACTTCCTGCAGGGTCATTTGTTTGTAGCGTATAAGTCATTCTAAAAGGCAATGACTTGTTTTAGGGTTTGCTTAATCAGCCATGGCTTAGCATGTTGTCTGAACCCAAACAGTGATTTCCTCAGGTCCCAAAAGAGATTTGCTAACAAGCCATGCAGCAAGAGACCAAAAATTATTGCAGCTCCTGTTCTTGCAGACAAATTTGGTTTCCAAACTACACCTAGCAACATGTTGTGTTGCACCTACTGAAGTCTACTCTCTGTCCCAAACTATGTAGCAACTGACTGACTTTACTGGGGCAGCCATCATTCCTTGTGAAGTATGCTTCCTGCCATCTGTGCACCTTCACGATCTGGCTTCTTGGAGAAGTTTTCATCCTTTGCTGCTTTTCCCCAGCTGCCTGTTTTCTCCACAACTTCCTTCCTTCCTTCCCTCCTTATCAATTTATATCCTGCCTTTTTCCTACAAAGGGCTCAAGGCAGCTTACATCTCCTCCTTCATCTTATCCCCACAACAACCCTGTGAGGTAGGTTGGGCTGAGAGTCTGCGACTGGCCCAAAGTCACCCAGTTGGCTCCATGGCTAAGCGGGAACTAGAACCCAGATCGTCTGAGTCCCAGTCCCATGCTCTTAACCACTAAACCACACTGGCTCTTGAAAGAGCTTCTTTTCTTACTCATTGTAATTGCAACCTGGACACAACCTCTTTCTGTCCTGCTCTATTTGTTTTCTTATACTTTTAGTAGGTACAGGACCCCGATACAATTTTGTGAAGGTGACAATCCTCAATGTTCTTGGTCCCTGATACAAAGTTCAGATGTGTAAGCACTTCACCTAGATTATTTGCACAACACCAGTGGTTCTTAGTGTACATTGCCACCTCCTCCTCTGAGTCACTTGACTTCTAACCACTGCCACCCAGGCTGGGAATTGTTTGTATCTTCAAAGCAGCTTCTGCTATGTTAGCAGCCACATTCCTCAGCCTAGTAGTTAATCCTGGAACCTGCAGGTGAGTTTTGTCCCCTCTTCTTGCATGAGCCCACATAACAAATCACCCAAGACTCTTATCCTTGCAGGGCTCAGTGTGAAAGACAGCAGGAGCTAAGGTGCAGGTAGTGAGATAGTGTGTAAGCCTACAGGTGCATTACTGGACAAGTTAAGCACAGTGCAAGGAAAAGAATGCTCTCTCTGAAAAAGTTTGAGGAGGTCAAGACTTACAACAAGCAAAATGGGATGGAGTTACACATCATGCCTTTCTATGTCAAGCTGCCTTCATCCTGATTGATAGGGTTGGAAGAATATATGAACATCAGCAGCATTCCACTTGCTGGACAGTAATTCCCCCAAACTGGACAGTAGCTCATGAGAACTCTTCCATGCCTCTGGGCCATCCCCAGCAGAGCCCCATACTACAGAACAACCATTCTCCAGTACACTGAAGCTGCCATACAAGGCACCATCTTTCATTATTTGTCTGAAAGTGTGACATGAGACATCTGACACCTCTAAATAGTATTCAAGGACAATCTTAATAGCAGGATTTGGCAAGTTTCTTCCTCATTTCAACAGGTCACTTCACAAGATATTACTCAGGCACCAAATAAGCTACCTTCCCTTTTATTTATATTTTATTTATTTAAAAATTTCTATGCCGCCCCATTCTCCGAAGCCTCGGGGCGGCTTACAAAACAACAAATATAAAACACTAAAAATATAAAACACATTAACATTATAAAATAAGTCGCCCTGGCCGAAGAATTAAGCAAATAATATTAGCAATTAAAATGAAGTTTGAATAAAAAGGTCAGCCAGTATGCAGCCAGTATGGCCAACATCCACTGAGATTAGTATTGTACTTCAACACATCTGAAAGGCACTTGATTAGGAAAGGCTACTCTATAACAATAATGGTCCTTCAAATACTGGATGAGAAAGGCAGCATATCTTCTCAAAATAACTTGGTAGTCAAGACAGCTCTATTTTGGGAGACATCCACTAGCCAAGCTGTATACCACTAATTCATGCATTTCTTTTGGCTGGCCTGGGGAACATTCTTTAGCCCAACCCTCTCAAAGAACAATAGGAATAACTATTCTGAAACTTGCCGTACCACATGCCTAGTCAAGTGGGCCATGAGGAGCACATCCCATTCATCCATACTGGCATCATCGAATTCCCTATGTACACACAGTAAACATGGATCAATATTTTACCAGACCTCTACATGAGGACCTGACCTGAAAAACTACTAGGTGTCCTCAGAAACCAAAAAATCCATGAGATTGAAGGATCTCCAACATACTTTCCAGTAATCAATAAAATCCTTGTTGTTCCTGTTCTCTAACAACATGCTCTGTTTAATGGGGTAAAATAAAACCAAGTAAAAAATAATTTACTTTCAGGTAAGAATTGCTTATTTTACATATATTTCCTATCATATACAATTAAAACAAAATTGCTTCAAGATGATTTTCCAGTCTGAGCCTGTTACTGGATTGGTTGATCTTTAAATAGCCACAACCACATGTATCACCCAATCACCTCAGAGTCAGACTGGACTTCTTCTGGAGCCTGGCGAGGGTCATCAACAGTTGTGGAATTCTTGTGCTCTGACATACCTGAAAACAAAAATAAGTTGAGCATGCATTAAATTCTTCTTAATGACCAAATAATGGGTTTTAATGATGTTTCTTCATGATCCATCAACTAGAAACACGAGATAGTGAACAACAGACTAGTTAGGGACTACTGAAAATAATAAAATACTTAAATGTTCTAAGAAGTAATCTTACGATATCTATTAGAAACTAAACTATATAATGTACAAGTTGAAACTGTAGTTCAAAATATGTGGCATATAATAATAATACTACCTTACAAACACAATGTATTTGTGTCACAGTCTTCTACAGTAGCAGCTGGGAAAATAAATATCTACTATAATATTTTACATACTTATATTTTCCAGGTTTACCATGTTTTATCATTTATACTCCATTTTAATTGTGAAAATCATGTCTAAAATAATGCATTCTTCCTTTATTTACTACTGCAAGCTACAAACACCTTTATTTACTACTGCAAGCTATAAGGCTCTAACAATTTTCTATAGGAACAATTTATAGTTCTTATAACCAGCATTGTTTGGGATGTGTCCATAGGATGTTTGCCATAAGGTTAAAAAAACCTCTCTCTTTTCCATGTTATATCAGGAATGAAACAGAAAAATATGTTTTTCCCTCTTTCTCTCAGTCCACAAAATGCATCTCTTTCTGAAATAGAAGAAACAGATCAAGGGCCAAGGCCTTTTAGTACTAAATTGTACAAAGGGGAAGCTTCTTCTTTTTTTTAATGTTTATATTAATTTATTGTTGTAAGCCGCCCCGAGGCTTCGGCGAATGGGGCGGCATAAAAATGTTTTAATAATAATAATAATAAAAAAAAATGATAGAAAAAAGTATCTTTTTTCTGAAACATTTCCATTCAGAAGCCTTGGACAGCACCAGAATGCTCATAAACCAGGCTACTTGGAACCATCCACATGAACATACCTCTTTAGGTTGGGGATATAGTGAAGCATCATGCCTCAACTCTCCTATCCTGATTTCTTACCCTGTCTTGTAAGAACTGCTTCTACTTATTATATAACAAGCATCTATTCAGAAGACAAATTGATATACTTACACAGGTAAATCTGTATAAAGATTTAAATACCTATCTATATTAATGTTTATGACGTTGCATGACACTCTCATTTATTTAATCTTGCTAATTTTGAGCTTCCAATGAGGCTATCTTTACCCTTAAAACTATGTATTTAAACCAAAAGCAACTTGTACACATACAGCCTAGTTTATGTGTTTAATACCTTTATGCCCCACCTTCCTTTCCCTGAACACTAGGGGTTGGACCCACATTTAGAAAATACAAGCTGAAATAAATGGGACTTAAATTATTCATAAATAACTTGTGTTTATTTAATGAGTCTAAGTACTACTATATCTGGATCCATCCCTAGGTCTTACTCTTTTGCATGAAAAACTGAATGTCAGTCTGTCTTATGTAACTGGAATTTCTCTTCCTTAGGTATTGTTTTTGCCAAGCTGAAACATGGGTGAGTTTAGACTGCAATTGCTGAAGTATTTAGTGTACATTTACAGATGAATGCAAGAAATCAAGAAGATCATTAGGTTTACATACTAAGACCTGTGCCTTTAGTGTACAGAATTAAGGTGCAGAAAAGTAAAATGCTTTTAACTCTCAAGTTGAGTATTCTGTAGATGATTAACACTACAACCATTTAACTTGTTTAGAATGTTTTATTTGTAATGAATCTAATTACATGTGCTTCCATGTCATCTAGAATGTAGAATTAGTATGCTATATGTAAAAGATGGTGATACTGAACCTCGTGGATTACATTACAGTGGGCTACATCTTCCTAACTTACATTAGCAAAGATAAAGAGCACCTTTGAGAAGTTGTTACTAGTACAAAAGCTGCATAAAGCCATCCTCTTTTAAAAATAGTTTCAAGTGTCATCTAGCCACCCAGTAGGCAAATACAGGGCTCTTGGTCTTTAACCTTATACTGTTTTCCATATGACAGAATAGGAGACATGCGAATAAATAAAATAAAACCCACATCCTCTTCTCTGTAAACCTCTGTAACTCCTACATTTTCTTTTGGGTGACCTGAATAAAACCTACACATAGAATGCATCCCACATTTTTCTAACATTATCAGTAATTCCGAGCGTTGCCTGAAGGATCACTAGATAATGTACATAAAGCACTCTGAACACTAGAAAGTGTCACACAAAAGTTATGCATTATTATTTCCTTAATTCAGAATGTATTCACTACAGAACCATCTTTGTAATTTATTTTATTAGAAACTCAGTTTGCATTTTTTGTGTCTGCAAGAGTAAATTAAGGACAAAGATATATTTGAAACCCAAGCCGATTATCAATACCTCATCCTAGATGCTTTGTCAACAGTGAAGTCTAGCATTCTAGGGTGAGGCTTATACTATGGAGCAGGGTCATCACAAGCTATCCACATATATTACAACTCCTTTCTGTATAAGATGTGTACTTGTTGTACTCAATTTACCAGAATGAATGCATGTATAATGGTTACTAATCTTCATTCATACCCTAATATTAAACAAAAGATCTATTCCCATAAATGTGTGACATGTTCCAAGCCACAAAAGAAAAAGTGGTATGAATGCTCAAACAAGTGTGGAAGTAATTTCCAGAAACCTCTGTCCTCCCAAGTATTCAGGAAATTAAGCAAAATTACTTTGCAAACTAGTAAGTTTTGCAGTGATTGTGGTTTTACCTGAGCCTGTGCATTCTGACTTGCCAAGATCAGGACTCCACCAAAATGATCATCAGTAGAATCAGAAACTTAAATCCTCTAAGCAGAGAAAGCATGTGGTATTACTCCATTACACGAGTAAAATTGTATAGAAATAGCTTTTTAAAAATTGGCACCAAGTTAACACTGGATTATTATCCAGAGTTTAAGGAATAGATAGAATACAAGTGGGGGAGGGGGCACAATGTCTTTCACACCAGCAGCCGATAATGCAAGCAGCCAAGATGCGCATTGCAGCAGACACATCTCATTGGTTCAAGGTGTTACAGGAGCTCAACTGGCTTATTCCTGATGTAAATGTGAAGAAAATATGCAACATAGTCTCTTACACTCCACAAAGGTTGGATAAGAGGGTTTGAACAGCCAACCTAATGCTCCTTCCCTATAATCCCATTTTTCTTGGTAGTAGGTACAAAAGGATCCTGTGCCCATGTGAAGCAGGAAGAGAAAAAAACCTCATTGCTTACAAACATAAATTTTTGGTCCTGTGACCATAATTGAGTGACTGGACTGTAAAAATTCCAATTCTCATTTTTATCAAAACTATGCAATGTTATGAAGCATGATAATCTGGTTACACATGCACATATGCACTCTATTAAATCCTTGAACTGTGCTAGTGAGATTATTCTACAGGATGCAGAATGCATATCCCATTACTTCTGCTTTACATTACTTTGTCTCACTTTTTCATTATATCTTAATAGATTGAGTTTTTTAAGAGCTACTTTTGCCATTACTTTAGAGAAGGTTATTAACTAGCTTAAGAATAGCAAGCATTGCAAGAATAGCAAGCATTGAATCCATTCATCTAACATGATAACTTACGTTGTCTGAACCTATCCAGAGTGGCTTCTGTGTTGAACCTATTCACTGTGCCTAAAAAACGACACAACAAGCCTGAGTGTAATACCAAAACCTTAAGAGCCAGAACAAACAGTGGAAAGGTTTGCTGCAATAGTTAACCAACTAGTGAACAACTACCATTATCACCAACTCCAGAAGTGTCAAAGTAGCACTTAGGGGATGGCTGGCAAAGCCAATCCTCATAACCAGATTTGCCAGAAACTGTTTTGGCCGGGCCACAGCTTGCCTCCCCCACCCCACTTAAAGTCTTTTAAAAAAAATGTCAGGAGCTGCTTTTCAGAGTGACTCTGCAACCTGTTTTAAGCAGTCATGTGCCCCAGTGGTACTGTGAAGAGGATGCCTACAGTCCCTCCCACCCTGCTTTTAAAAAACTGCTTGTTCTTGGTTATATGTACATACTATATACAGACAAAGATATTTGTAGATACAACAACTGAAACATCCAGTTTGCACAAACAAAGTATTTAAGCATAAAAAGGGGGACACTGGAGCAAGACCTGACCAGGGATGGTGGCTGCTGGCCAAAGCCAGCAATCACCCATCCTCTACAGTGCCTAGCATAGGCTGCAGGTAACTATTTCCCCCGCTCCACTCATTTGCAGCGATCTGTCAAATTTCTTTCCACCTTCTGAAGTCTGGATTGTTTAAACCACAAGCAGACTATAATTATTCATAATAGCATTAGACAATGTGCAATAGTAAATAGCCTACTGTCAAAGAATGCAACCACAGTATTACCTCATTCATTCACTTGACATAACATCTTCTCCCCATTTATATACTGCATATTTTACTCTCTAGCATTTCCTGAAGAGCGGAAACAGACTCATGGAAGACTGTTGGTCATGACTGCTCAAGTCCTGAACAGCCCAAGTCAACATTATCTGAGGAGCACTTGGTAAGTACATATAACAGTGCCTTTTTAGTTGTACCCTGTGTAGCCTCCTCCCTTTCAATCTTTCGCAAAACTGCCTTATTTAAATGAACCTATGGTACAAATTTTTTATCCTGTAAGATTATCTTAATTTGCTGCTAATGTTTATTAGAATGTAAGGGCATGCTGAACCAGACCAAATGCTTATGTGGACCAGTATTCTGTTCACACAATGGCCAATCAGCTGCTCGTGGGAAACCCACAAGAACATGAGTGCAATAATATTCTCCCAGTCATGTTTCCCAGGAACTGGTATACAGATGCACATTGTCTTCAATATTTGAGGTCGTATGTGGCCATCATAACTAATAGCCGCAAACAGTTTTAACCTCCATGAATTTAATACCCTTTTAAACCCATCAGTTTAGTAGCCATTGCTTTATTTATTTTTTTAAAGAGATGCAAATACAAAAAATCATATAATAAAGAAAAAAGCACACAATATACACATTTTTAAAAAGTTGTTCTTAGCGCACCCCTCCACTGGGACCATGGCTACCTAGTAATTCTTTTCCTTTCATTTTACACCTGCTTCCATCCAATTCTTTTCCTTTCATTTTCCAAAATACATGCTTCCATCCAAAATTGCAATACATCCATTGGAGCTCTAGTACCCTTCCCTTTTATTAATACATATTTAATAAACAAACCCCATATATTGTTAAAATCATTCTTCTTTACCATTCTTTTTTCACCTTTAGCTCACTTGTCAACTTGTCATTAAATGCTATATACCAAACTTCTTTATACCATTTAATTAATTGAAGTCTGTTTCCCCTTCTAATTCTTTGCTGTTGATTTGCTGTTGCTGATCAATTTTGCTGTTGATACCAAATTTATTATTAATTCTTTAATATTCCATTTCCATATCCACTGCTAACCAGAGAGCCAGTATAGTGTAGTGGTTAAGAGTGTGGGACCAGAACTCAGGAGGTCTGAGTTCTAGTCCCTGCTTGGCCTTGAAGCCCACTTTGAGCCAGTCACAGACTCTCAGTTCAACCTACCTCACAGAGTGGTTGTTGTTGGGATAAGATTAAGAGCAACAGCAGGAGAATAATGTAAGCCACACTGAGTTCTTTAAAAAAAGAAAAGCGGAATATAAAATACATCACTGCACCATGGGGTAGCAAATTCCATAATCTGTGCTGAGTGTAGTATTTTTTTAATCTGTCGTGAATCTTCCCCCATTCAGTTTCATGCTTTGACTCAACTTTTATTATAATGAGAGGGAGACAAACGACTACCTTTCCAGTTTTCTAATACCTTATGCAACTTTGTACACCTCTATCATACTTCCTCATATTGACCATTTACTAAGCAGTTAACATCTATGGCTGTTCTAGTCCCAGATATTATAGCCCTTCCTTATAGGGGAACTGTTTTAACCCCTTGATCACTTTAGTTGCTCACCTCTGTGCTTATTCCAACTTGCATTATCATTTTTGAGGTATATTAATCAGAAGTATATGCAATACCCCAACTATTGTTACTATACCAATCTAGTATTTGACAAGTTTTATTTTCAGTTCCTCTTCTTTCTATTGATGTTCAAAATAGAACTTGTCTTTATAGCAGCCACATGAAGTTGACATTTTCATCAAGCTGTCCTTCACAATCCCAAGAATCACAAATCTTCATCAATTACCACAACCAGCTTGGATCCTATCAGCATATACACAAGTGAGCTTTTGTTGTTGATGTTGTTCCAGTGTGCATTGCTTTATACTTGCTTTTACCATTTTAATGTTTATTCTCCCAGTCTGAAGATTTTTTGAGCTTTTCACAGCACCTTTTAATTTTAACTACTCTAAAGATGTTGGTATCACCAACAAGCTTGGCCATCTCAATGCCCACTCCTAATTCCAGGTAATTTGTAAATAACTTAGGAAAATACAGGTTCCAGCACATATCTTTGTGGGACCCCTCTGCTTACATTCCTTCACTGTGAGAATTGACCATATATAACTTCTACCTGCAATTGTTCCTTAACCACTTACTAATTAAGAAGAGTCACTTTCCTCTTATTTGATTACAGTATGAGTCTTTGATTAAGGGCTTTGTCAAAAACCTTTTGAAAGTTCAAGTAAACACTGACTTGGTTTACATGACACAACAGTTTATTGGTCTGTTTTACCTGTGAAAGCCATTGTGTTGTGTCCTGTGTCGATTTTTGTGTAGTGCTCATGGCTGCTTGCTTCTATAGCTTGCTATGTTATGCAACCCCAGCAGCAGAGATTATTTAAAGATTATGCAACCATCAAATGGCTTGTTTTATGGTTATTAAAAGTTGTTTAACCCTTGAATAAACCCCACTGCCTGGGTTTGCAGAACATGACAATCTACAGAAGCAAGCACCATGCAAAACTGGCATGTGCTTTGCGTGATACAGTAGCTCCCACATGTAAAATAAGCCACAAGAGACTACAGTGATGTGCAAACAGGCTCAGTGTCTACCATAACTATCCTGTTCACATGGTTACTGACACTTATATACCGCTAAAGAATTCGTGAAGTAGGACATACCTTAGCAAAAGCCAACTTTTCAACAGGATGTACCATCTATATGCTTGATAGTAATATTTTTAATAATGTTTTCTTCCAAATTACTTGGAACTGACATTAAACTAACTATCCTGTGATTGCTCAGATCACCCATGGATTCCTTTTCTAAAACAAATAACTGGTGTTACATTGGTCACTCTCCAGTCCTCTGGTATAGCTGCTGATCTAAATAACATATTACACATTTTGTGTAGAAGATTAGTCAGTTCTAGGCCAATGAACACTAGGATGAATACCATCTGGACCTGATGATTTGTTAGCTTTGAATTTGTTAATAAAATCTAGAACATAGGTGGGCAAACTGGTTGAGAGGGGCAAATAGATAACATAATGGGAAGGTCATATCTATTTACTTTATTACTTGCCACTGTGGTTGCTTGTCCACACCGTCATCCCTTATAGGAAAGGATAAAACATGGGTAAAGCTATTCCAGCCATGGCTGGCATGTCCTCCCCATCATAGAGGATGTGAGGTAGGCAAAGCAGGAGGCTGACTAGCAAGCTATGAGGAATATCCTATTATCACTCATCCCTGGCGAGGTATAACAGGAGGATTCCCCTCCCCAAGCCTCTTGAAGTCTCCTCATCTAATAGTTCAACTAGCTTACTAGCTGTTTTTCCTGCTGCTAATGTACTTAATCCAATTCTTCACCTTAATATGATATGCTTGTCAAAATTCATTGCTGTCTACATGTGTTTCAAGTAGGGGATAGGAACATATCCTTGGAAATTTGCAAAGATTCTATCATTGTATGAATCTAGAAAACCACATGATCTCAACAAAGGTTGATAATAAACTGTTGTTGATAATATAACAAACTGGGTGTTAAGATGGGGTTTAAAAAAGTGCAGAAGACCATATGCTTTTTCTGCACTTTGGCAACAACACCCTTTTTGCACCTCACAGCAGAAACCATGATCTGTATTTTCTCCAACACTTAGAGCAACCACAAAACTCATAACCAATCCATATACTCAAGTTTGGCTATATGCTTCATCCACTGAAACATATAATTCTAGTCCTGCTTAGGTTCACTGCTGAATACAGTTATTCAACCTTTAAAACACAACCAGCACTGCACTGTTAAGTTCCATTGCCAATGAATGAAGAAAGCCACCTTTATAAAACAAACAGAATTTTAAAAATCCAGCTATACCCAAAACAGATAATGGCAGCTCAGGAAGTATGAAGGAAGAAGAAAAGTGTTTCTCCAGGAAAAGATTACTGAGTAAAAGCAAAATATAATCAGCTTTGCACTTAAACGTCTGGCTCAACCCATTTGAACACCACACAGCCTAAAAGAATAAAGTAATCTTAGAAAGTGCAAAAGGGAGAAAAAAACAAAGGAAAGTGTTTTTTTCAATAAGCACATTTAGATTCCTTTGCTGAGTACAGTACTTCCTCCTTCCCCCGATAACTACAGCAACTGCCTCAAGATAAAAGACGACAAATCCGGGTGTACACCAGATGGCCTCTTTTCTTCCTGGCAGGCCTCCTAGTTCTTTTAGCCGCTCCATAATGGCCAAACATTTAGGTGGTGGGGCAACCCTGTCCTCTTCATCTGGTCACCGCGCAAGGAAAAGCAGCACCTGTTGAGCTGCTCCCTTTGCAGAGGCAGTCTGCCGTTGAAAGAACAGGAATTCCGCTGGGAAAGCAGTGGGGAGGAGAGGGAAAAGCGTCGCCCCTTCGTTCATACGTGGCCTCGGAGTTTGCAGCTGCAGCAGAAGACAGGGCCAAGACACCGGCCCGCCTGCGTAACGGGAAGAAGCAAGCGGGGAACGGGAGCGGCAGCGCAGGAGGACATGCCGTCACCATGGACGAGGAAGGAGAGGAAAAAAGGAGAAAACGGAAAGGACCAATAAAATCGAAGAGACCAAGCGCCTCAGGCGGCCGCTCAGGGGCCAACTCCCCCCCCCACCCCGCCGTCTCGACACTCCTCGGGCTCGCAACAGCGACCGACACCACCCACCATCTTCTCCACCTCCGCTCACTTGCCTTCAGCACGATCCAGTTTCCTGGTGCTCCACCTCAGGGCGCAAAAAAAAAAAAAAAAAAAAAAAAAAGGTCTTCAGAAAGCTCCACAAGCGCCGGGTCCCTCTGCCTGTATACTTTTCTCCTCTTTTCCCCCCTACAACTCCAGAACCAACCGGAACTACTTGGCCGGAAGTAGAGAGTCCGCTTACCACTCTATAGATATGCCTCCCCTCCTCCCACAAATACACGGAGAAAAGCCTTTCTAGGCGTGAGGTTGAGCGTGGCATGGGCTGTTGCGACGTAGCCGTAGCCATGGTAACAGCATCCGGCTCTACGGCATTCTTTTCCCTGTCAAGGGACCACGAGCATAGAAGTCGGGAAATAATTCACATTTCCGGATTGCAGTAGGGTGTGCGAGGCAATCGGTGCGGGGAAGCAGGACAGGGCATCGTAGGGCTTTCAGAGCAGAGCGGCTCCTGCGTTTTGCATTGATTCCGCATATGGCGCCGTTCCGAGGAGGAGAAGGAAGTGAGCGCTGCAGGCTAGCTCTTTATTTTCCACAGCTGCTGCTGTGTCAAGACGATTGCAACAAAAGAAGCCTTGCTTTGTTGTAAAAGGCTGAGGACGCAATCCTATACACGTTTACACCACAAAAAGCCCGGCAAATCCTAGGTGGCCTTGGAATGCAGGGAGTTGCAGGGTGTTTAAGGCTTTCCGCCTCGAAGTTAGGCTGCTGAAAGAAAATGTTGGCCTTGGGTGTGAATAGGAGAAACGCAGCAGTGTTTTTTTGCATGGAAGCACCTGTGAGCTTGCTTCTAGCTCAAACGGAAACTTTCTGGACTGAGTTCAGAGTCATCCTGCTTCCTAATTCTTAGTATGTCTTCACCTGCCTGGGCTATCATTTTGCACTAGACTCCAGTTGGCAGGACAAAATATATCCCGCATGTTGCCCAGACAAACTCCCAGTTTAGGGCATTGTGTTCCACTCAGGAATTTTCCAGATTTTTGAATTACAACTCCCATCCTCTCTGGCTGCAGGATCTGCACTTTACCCTAGAGTAGAAACAGGGAGCCTAATTCAGATCTTAACCCTCCATACCTCACATGCTAGGGTTCCAATCTGCCTGCCCCTATTCTGGGATAGTACTAAAAAAGGTATAGTTTCTAGGGCATGTATATATCAATATTAGTACTATAACCCCAAGCTCCCTTGCCAGAACAGGCTTTCAATTCATGGGCCATGTTGGGTAGACTTGAATTCCAGTATCTTATTATCTAGTCTGTTAGTTGGAATTCTTAGTGTCTAGTCTCTTGGGCTAGCCAGTGTGAGAAGAAGGATGAATGCTAGTATTCTTGTGGAAAAAAGGTCAGACATTACCTCTTTAAAGAGATTAGACAAAACAGCCCTGCAAGGACCTGTTGTCCTCTAAAATTCTAAATTATCTCATGCATAGCACTTAGCAAATTCGGAAAGGACTCATCTCTCACCCCAAGAAGCAATAGTTAAGATAATCAAGAGTCTGTCAAGGACAATTCCTACAATTAGCATAGGTCTGGGAAATTCATCTTTCATATAGACATGTGTTCAGAGAGAATTGGTATAAATATCAGATTTTTAAAAGAGACATGCATGTTCTGAACATACAAGCTCTGAACTCAGGCTGTACTGCTGCAGGGCAGGTAATGGACCACACCCACTCTCTCTTAGGAAATTCTTTAAGCTAGTTCCTGCTCTATAGTTTTCTGATGAATAAACTTTTATTTTCACTTTGTGCACGCACGCATGAATGCAGAAAAAGAGCTTGTGCTCTTTGGTTGTGCAGGTTAAACCCAGCAAAAGATCCCAAAGCTTTCAAAGCAATCTGGAAGGCAAGTGTCTCCTTTTGAAGTGTATTGCTCCTCAAGATTACCTGTGTAAGAATTTACTAGATACTGATTTAAAGTGATACCTGTTTTGGATTGGACTCCACATCTGAGCTGTGTGCTCCATTATATCTTGGGGGAAGCTAAGTGGACCATCATTTAGGGTTTTTAATGAAGTTAGATGAAATATAATGTACTCCATTCCAGGATCTTTGTGTTCTACTAAAAAAAGAAAAGCTTTAGGAGTGGAGCTCCAAAGGGATCTCTTCAAGGTGGAAGAATGAGGATCAAAATGGCAAATGCAGTTCACTATAAGTAATGCATATAGGGGCTGTTGGGAAAATTTGGATATATCCTGTCAGAAAAACATTGCTTCTGTGTACTTTTGCATTGTGGAATCAATCCTGTACTCCTCCTCAAAAGGGCCAGCTTTCCAAGCTAAGTCACTGTTTAAAATTGCATTCCTCCCCCACTCCTTTCTCTCACCTTTAGCTATAAGCTACTGTAGGCAAGCCATTTAGTCCAAATATACATTATATACCTTCACAATGATTAAATAATCATTGTTGGAATTCAGTTTACCAGGAAGTATCTTTTGCTAGCCCAGAGGGCTCCATGTGCCCTGGCCATTCAGAATGGTGCGGATGCATTACTTAGGGTCTGAGTTTAGATGAGCTTATGAGTTCATGAATAGTTTCTCAGTAGCTTGAATTTACATGTTTAAGCAGACCTGGAAATAGGTTCAAGTTACTCAACTAAAGTGTCAATACACTGCAATTAGAAATATTGTAATCTCATTGTCACTGTATGATTGGCTGATCTTCCTTTATCTGTTCTGTATGTGATGACCTCAGAATCTTATTGTAATGTCTGCATTCTGTCATCAATTGCTCTGTACCTGTGTACATGACCAGGAGGGTATAAAATACCCTGCAGTTGTATTGAAACTTTGCAGCAAGGTTATGAGATTATTGTGAGTCTACCGCGGGAACCTGGGCCAAACAATAAAGCCACAGATAGTCTGAACGCTTGATTTTCCCACGAACCCAAGTTTTATTTCCTCCTCATGAATTGAAATTCTGAGATTTTCTGACAGGGTAAAAAATCTCAACTTCAGGAATACACAAATAGTTCTGAACTAGCAGTGACTTGAAAGGATCTTGGAGTAATGGTGGACAGCTCGATGAAAATGTCGGTCCAGTGCTCAGCTGCTGTGAAGATGACAAACTCCATGCTAAGCATAATTAGGAACGGAATACAAAATAGAATGCCAAAATATCTCTTTATACAATTTATAAGCTGTTTAGCCTGAAGTGCCTGATCCTGCCTAATCTTAGAAGCTAAGCAAAGTCATCCCACATTGAACTCTGGATGGGCTACTTGAGTCCTGTACTGAGCAGGCGATTGGACTTGATGGTCTACTAGGGCCCTTCAAACTGTATGATTCTATGAAATCTTTGGTGCGGCTGAACTTGGAATATTGTGTTCCATTCTGATCATCTTACCAGAAAAAGGACATTCTTGAGTTGGAAAAAGTATATGATCAGACAACAAAAATGATCAGGGGGCTGAAGCAGCTCTCTTAAGAGCTGGCTACAACTGGGACTGTTCAGCTTAGAAAAAAGGTGAGTTAGGGGACACATGATAAAGATGTCTAAAATGATGCATGGTGTGGAGAAAGTAGAGAGGGATGCATTTTTTCTCCCTCTCCCATAACACTTAAACCTGGAGTCATTCCATGAAACTGATTGATGGGAGATTTGGGGCAGGTAAAAGGAAGTACTTCTTCACACAACATACCACAGAAAGTGGTGCCCCTGAAAGTGGTGATGGCTGCCAGTCTGGATGGCTTTAAAAGAGATTGGACAGATTTGTGGGGGAGGAGGCTCTCAGTAGCTACTAGCCTTGCTGGCTATGTGTTACCTCCTTTACCAGAAGTGGCAAGCCTGTATACACCAGTTGCAGAGATGCTGGCCAGGAGGAGGTCTTATACCCGTCCTGCTTGAGCAATCCTGTAAGTAGCTGGTTTACCATGCTGTGTACAGAGCGCTGCTCAAGATGGAGCTTGGATCTGATTCAGAATGCCTTTTCTTATGTTCTGATTATTGTCCAGTAGGATAGGATCACTGTTAGAGAGAGCAGCCAGTTACATTCCCTTTACGCTTATTAATTTTGCTGGCTGGTTTTTACATAATTAGTCCTACCATTACTGCTTATTCGCTAACTTATTTTTCCAATCTTCTATAACTGAATGCCTTTTTCCTTACCATTTAAAGGCAGTTTTAACTTTAGCTACAATTATCAGGTACTGTACTCTAATAACTCTATTCATCTCAACTGAACTTACTATAACAAAGCAAGAGTTCAAGAGTTAATCTCTAACAATATTTTCAAAAATTCCATTCCATGTATATAATTCTTATTGTAACAATGAAGCATTAATATGAACATACATCTGACCATATTTTCAAAGATTCCACTCCATTTATATATAGATTTTCTATTACTATCCCCATTATAAAATAAGTTGTGCATTGTACACTTTCCATTTATCATTAAATCCTTTGGCTGGTTTTCTGTTTACATAATTAGTTAATTTTGCCATTACTGCATAGTCAGTTAAGTTGTTTTTCCAGCCTTCAATAGTTGGGTTTTCTTCTGCTTTCCATTTTGAAACAATTAAAACTCTAGCCGCTGTTATCATGCATTTAAATAACTCTACCATGTTCCTTGGCAGACTTTCTAGAACAATACTCAACAGTATGGTCTTAGCAGTCATTTCTGTATTTCTGTGCCCTTATGACATGCACAAAGGTCTTTGTGGCATTGCCAGTTCAGCACTGTGACAGTCCTTTATTTATTTGAGCATAATTTCAAGATACTGATTTGAAAGCCAATCCAATCAAGGTAGTTGCAGATAGTAATGTGCAAGAACAAATGCACATGCTTTTGAACTTTCAAGGGAGTTCTGAGTGCACCATGGCAAATGTCTCCTCGTCTCACCTGTAGTGAGAAGAAATATAGCAATCAAGGACAAAATTGCCATAATAGCTGCATTAGAAAATTGAAGTTAGATAGATATTGCAGAAAAATATGGCATAAAGTATAATTGTTTGATTTCCTTTATGAGGAGCAAAGCTAAAGTTTTGGAAACCTTTGAACTTTTGCTATTTAACCCTAAAAGAAAAAAGTTAAATGACTACTTTGGTGATTAGGCAGGAGGACTGGTGAAGTCACAGTGCTTGAATGGACCAGATACTGTGCTTCAAAGCTAATAATTTTAGATGGAAGCTTGGGCACTGTGATGTTTGTTTCAGT